GGCAGGGGCTTGAGCCCCCAAAGCCCCCCCCCCCCCCTTTTGCACGTGCCTGTTTATGTCCCTCCGATGAAAGACTATTCACCAAAGATGTTCACGTTTCAAAAAGCTCTAAACCTGCAGGCATTATAATGTTATGTATATGAAAGTCCCAGTCATAGTCATTAATATTCTGCATTGTTGTTGGTCCTGCTCGCACTCAGAGATAATCACCGTACAATGAAGCACTTTACTGCAGCGTAACTCAACCAAGTACGTCTTATTCGAGATAAATAATATATACACGATATAAATAAATCGGCTGAAATGTTTTTAAATCACCTGTACCCTACCTGATCGAAAAAATCCAGTCTTTCACTCTGTCTGTCAGTTTGAGTCTTGTTAAAGTTTTAAATTCCTGCCGCCAAGATGCTCCTCTGTCGGTCTGAACACCATTCAGAAAACCCTGACCATTTAAGGGTGTAGAGGCATCTTGTAGAAGGGCTCTAGACTCCAAAATCATGTTAAGAGGACTGAGCACCTGACTTCCCTGACCTGTCTGATGACCTGAGGGAGCAGGTCAACCAGAGGCAAAGCATACAGGTGAGGACTGGGCCATTCGTGGGTCAGGGCATCCTGCTCCCTTGAGAAATATGTTGGGCAGTGAGAGTTGTCTTCTGAATCAAAGAGGTCTACCTCTGCTCTCCCGAATACAGACCAGATCGTTTGAACCATTTGGGGGTGTAGTATCCTTTCTCTTGGAAATACATTGCCCCGGGATAGTTTGTCCGCTCCTTGGTTCAGTCTGCCTAGCACATGAACTGCCCTCAGTGAGAGTAGATTGCACTGTGCCCACAGGAGGAGGTGTCTCGCCATCCTGTATAGGAAGCGTGACCTCACTCCACCTTGGAGATTTATAAAAGCTACCGCCGACATGTTGTCCAAGCAGACCAGTAAGTGGTGTCCAGTAAGGCTGGCAGGAAGGTATTTAGAACTAGAAAAACCACCATCATCTCTAGGCAGTTGATGTGTAGGCATTACTTCAGGCTGAACCAGGAGCCAAGCTCCATTTTCGCCTTATACAGTGCGCCCCAACCCGAGTTGGAAGCATCTGTCATAACCACCTTCCCACTTGAGGTCAGTCCCAGGGTCCCAATGGGACACCTGTCTGAAACAGGTGGGATGTCTTCCAAGGGGCCACAGCTCTGGTGCAGCGTTGGGTTACCTTGAAGCTGATTACCTTGATTTGTAGGGGCTGCATATGAAGCAGACCCAATGGAATGACAGAGGAGGCGGCTGACATGAGGCCGAGCATCCTATGAAAACCTCTGAGGCTACAGGAAGTCTCGACTTTGAATAAAGACACCAGCCGCTGAACTGTTAGTGAGCATTCTGGCATAATCCATGCCCGCATTTGGGCTGAATATATAATTGTCCTCAGGAAGTCTACTCACTGGCTGGGAGACAAAGAGCTCTTGGCAAAATTGATTTTCAGTCCAAGATGCTCCAGGTGGTTGAGCAACAGCGACCTGTGAGCGAGAAGTTCCTGTTCCAATCTGGCTAATACCAGCCAATCATTGAGGTAGTTCATAATGCGGATTCCCATCTGCCTCAGAGGGGAAAGCATCATCTCTAGGCAGTTGATGTGTAGGCATTACTTCAGGCTGAACCAGGAGCCAAGCTCCATTTTCGCCTTATACAGTGCGCCC